GTTACTGTTTCTCCGTCTGAGCATTTTGTTTGCCATCACTAGACCATGATTTTATTGTGAGCAGCATATGGCATGGGAAGACTTGGTGTGGTGGCAACTAGCGCCGTTTACCACGGGCGCGGCCCAGGGATCGTATCGTACGCCGTCCAGACTAAACAGACCTCCGATCCCCCTCACTCATTTAATTGGTACCGAAAAGGTCTGGGTGAAAACATTGACTTCTACGTTGGCACGTCATTGTCAGGTCATCGCAGAAGTCTATAACGTCAATTAATCGTATAAGTCTTACCGCATTCAAATACCACTACGATTCTGAATAGAAGGAGAAGCGTGGCGCAACTCAAAGGGGATCGATCAACGCCGAACGCTTCATTCTAATGCTTTTAATTCTTTACTCTTTGATTACAGAGGTAAATTGTCGAATTGTTTAGCTGTGTACGGAAGCGATAGCCTTTCATGTTCCGTATGAAATTTCATTCTTAGAGCTGCCATCGATATTAATATGAGGCTGAGGCAATTGGCATTGGCTAATTATGCGGCTAACGAGTTGCATCGTTCTACGCTCACGCTGGGTTTACGGACTACTTGAACTTTCTTCTGTGGTCCTGCCACGAATGGCGGAGAGCACAGACGATTAGAGAACGGCGCCTGGCTCGGCTCCAAATCCCAAGGAAGGTGAGAGCCCAGGACTAAGCCTTGTAGGGGGAGGGACTCCGAGGTGGGTGAGCCAACTACAGGCAAAAGTTTGAATGTGTGAGTGTGGTCATGAGCCGCTGATAAGGTGAGAGAGCGCAGACGAGAGCGTGAATTGAGGCAGCTCAAAGGACCGAGTTCAAGTAGTCCGTCGACCGCTCACGCTGGCGTATGCATGAATGTGTTGACGTCTGCGTCTCGCTTGCACTTGTGCTTTCTCACGTTTCCCTATTCATTCTCTCGTATCGGTTTAAAGTCTTTCTTTTTTTGGGCTATCTACCGTTTAGGAAAATGAGCCCTTTCTGAGTCTTCTTTCCCATTTTTTTACCCTAGTGATCCACTTCCCATTTCTGATTCAATTTGCGAGAGCAGTTAGTACACCCAGAGCGAATAATACATTTAGTGCGGGAGTGTTAATTAATTCTTGCACAGACTCCCCAGATTCTTTCGATCGAGTTGCCATATAATAATCTCCTTCTTTCCTATGCCGCATGGAGATTGTTTTAATGCTGCACTGGAGGCATGCTCCGGGATGAAGTTGGTGTGGTTCATGCACACCAACACAAAAGTATTGGTGCGGAATGGGTCGGCAATAAAAAAAGAAGAAAAAATTCCCGACATCGCTCAGGTTGATAGCTTCGTAACGGAGCCGCGCTAAGCTAGTGAGAGATTGAGCGGGGAGAGGAAAGTATGAGGCGAGAGATCCAATTGAGAGGACGCACAATAGCATGCTGCGGACGGGAATGTTGCAGCTGCTGCAGCTTACTTTGTAAGACCCTAGCTACCTTGTTCGGTGGTTCTACGCAGTCGAGTGCCACATCTGTGACTGTTCTCTAGTCATCTATCGTACGAACCGAAGAGAACACACAGGTTTCTGCCCGGCTTGTACTTCAAGGTCGATTTGTCTTTAGATTTGTGTGGTATTACAAACAACTTTTTTCATTGAGGATGTTCGTATAACTTCGTATAAATTAAATAATAAGCAATAAATGAATAAACAAATAAATAAGCTCTCACATACGTAGATTTCTCCGCAATCTGGCTTTTTGACTACTGTTATTCCAGTATGTTTCTCAAGAATTTACTAGAAGTAAAAACCGCCGTGCGAGCGTAGCAATGCGGACATTCCAGGCCAGTTGTGGCTTTTTTACAGTATAAGGGAGTACATGCACAGCAGCAGTCAAACGCGTTCGCCAAAACATTTTTTCATGCATCATTTCTTCTTTCTTACTTGAATAATTCACTTTAATTACTGATACGTTAGGCATTCCAGTGTTTTCGAATGTTTGGATCTTGAGAAATTACGATTTTCAGAAGAAAAAAATTTTAATGACTTTGAAGTTTTTTCATGGGGAAAAATATAGCGCAATCCCGACGTTGCATGTATAGGGAGGAGTATGCTCCTACTAGGTACACTGATTGTGCGACCGTTCCCCCTGCTTCGGAGCCTTTTCCCTCTCGCACCCGGGAATCTCGGCTAAGCTTAAAACCACGCCTTCCTTCTATTCACTTTGCATAATAATTCTTCTGATCAGATTTTGTCCCTACTATCAACATTTTCTATTCTTACTTCATCTATGAAGAGCATCTCAGTAGCCACATTAAAAGAAATCTACTTTTAGGTGTTTTCCATTGGCCTAGTTGCCTTTTCGATACGGGCTTTGACAGAAATGGGATTTGCCTCGAGCATTATTGGCACTCGAGAACTTGCAACGGCAGCCTCAGTGATGCTATCAGTAGGAGCATTCACCTTGATAACGGCTCCTCTTGGCCTGCTTTCAGCGGTGGCGGTATATCCATCAGTGACGCTGACGGTATGATTTGATTTCACTCAAGCTACTGTCATAGGGCATTTGGGTGAATATCTGTTCTAGTATATGATATTGGCCTTCTTCATGTGTCTTGTCAGTGTCGTCGGTGGATGGTTCAGCTATCAGCTCTACAATGAGGTGCGTCATACAACTAGGCAATCACCCAGCCTACGCAAGTGAGCCCCATTTTAGACGGACTCCGGAGTGGTTTTGAAGTGGATGAACTACAGCTTATTATCTGAGTACGGTAACCCCTTCGCAAACGACTTGACGCTCTCTTGGGATGAGTTGCATGAAAAGGTGGGTCTAACATTTTCTGTAGCAACAATTGTCTTCCATTCTATTGTTGTGAGAATCAGGTATGTTACAGTATGGCTGCTGTGGGATCACAGATGAGAATGGTGCTGTAGAATGGCAAAACTCTCAGTGGTTCATAACTTACGATCGGTATGTCATAATAACTTGAACACTGAGAGAAAATATTGTCTTCCTGGCATTTATTGCTTATTTAGATGGCCAAGACCACGAACTCCTGAAAGCTGTTGTCCGACATGTGAAACAAAGGTGAGTGTCGTACGTAATTACAATCATACTAAGGGGGACGCCTCATCAAAACTTCGAAAGGGCGGTCCCGCAACCCACTAAGTCCACATCACGGGGCGAGCTTGAGTCGAGGATCCCTCTACAGTGGAGCATTTCTTGAGTAAAGGGGTCTCACCTAGATGGGAGGCGTGGAGATGTCTATGGTCGGCCGTCTTAACTGGACACTTCAATAGGACCAGATTTTCGTAGTTCTGGGACTCTTTAAAACCCCACCCGCTTCCTGAATGCGCCTTTTCCAACCTTCATCATCCCAAGTGCACGCCGAACCTCATCCTCTGTCCAGAGTGCGATGGGACCAGCTGTGGCCTCTGCCCGTGAGTTGTTCTTGTGGGGAACTCCTCGTTCAGAGAGCACCTGAAGTACTCTTCCCTCTCATAAGGTGTATAAAGAGATGTCGAGGCCACACTGACCGTCGCTTCGCCTGATCTCTGCCTCAGAATCCTCATCCCCGCCATGTGCTAAAAATGTCGTAAAGTGGTCTACGAGGCCCATATGGAGGTCTGGACAATAAAAGATTTTTAGCTAGGAGAGCGTAGAGATAAAGCATTTACTTTCTAAGGTGTGGAGGTGTGTATGTTTCTACTGGAATTGGGGCGCAATTCTACCCGCACCACTGTGCTCATGCCGCATCGACAGCCATGCAGGCGGATTTCCATTCAATGACTCCTCAACCGAGCCTCCCCGTAGAGGGGTATGAAATTGGTTAACCAAATACGTAGAATTTCAACTTTGCGACTTGATTGGCTTCGGTACTACATATTTTGGTAAACGGATATTAATGTTTGGGGCGGAAGTGGTGTAGTGACAAGTGGCACGCTTACCACGCGAGCGGTCCCGGGATCAAATCCTGGGTCGTGAGTCGCCCGGGCCAACCAAGCCTTCCATCCCTCCGGGGTCGGATTAATTGGTACCAGACTTGTCTTAGGACTTACTGGCTGATATATCGGCTGGACCCCATGCACATTCATTGATAATTAGGCCACAAGCATTCACAAGGTCACACTTCATACAATATTAAATATTGGGAGAGTAGAATGCGTGCCGCATCCCAAAAAGGGATTGAACAACGGCAAATGCTTTTATGCTTTTGCTTTATAACGTTTCCATGTGGTGGGTCAGGAAAAACAAAGCTCTCTCTTACTTTTGAGCGAACAATTGGTATGATTGGTATAATTTACCCAAGACGTTTGGACACTCCTCAGAACTTTCGTATTGGTTAGCAAAGGCCGGCCGTTATGAAAGAGTTCGAATTCGAGTTTTTGATAGAAGGCTACACTGCGTCCCATAATTATAACTCCACCCAAGAATTTCCCAAAATCTCACAAAATTTAGATGTTTTAGAAAAAGTCTCTAATGTGGCAGTGTGTCAAATACAAATACGAAATCCCTTCATAAGCATCATCTTCCAACTTGGGATCCCAGGAATTTTTTCTAATAATTTTTGTTCAAAAGGCCACTTGGCCAACGTCCCAAAATTATAACTCCACCTCATGTTTTTCTATTATTTTTCACTTCCGTTTCGCCAAACTTTTTTAATGTGCTAACATCCTACTTCTCAAGGGGACAGTATGATAGAAAATGCTGTCGGACTTTTTAAAAGGTCAGGTCATCGCAAAAACTACTAATTAGGCAATCGCACAAGATTTTGACCAAATTTACGAGGAGCTCGAGATTTTTTCAGGGATTTTACATGATATGGAGTTGAGAAGAGCTCCAAAGGATCTCCCCTTGCTTTTCGGTAGAAACAAAGGCCGTGTCACAGAAGAAACATCCTTTTTTATGAAGCCGTGCTCTGCCATCAAATCTTCTTCGGAACTTAATGGCTCAACGGAACAATGTTTTTGCTTGCGAATGAATCCCAAGTGGTTCTCGAGTGGAAAACTCGAGTGGGTAAAGGCATCATCTGTGGTAAGAAACCATGGCGAAAATTGAGCCCATTTTCACAGAAAGATGCAACGGAGCCGACTGGAGTAAGGTTTGCTTTTGCTCGATATGTTTTAGCATTTGTTTGTTTTTCTTTTCGTGCTTTTCTCATCCTTAGTAGCTTTTCTCTTCGCGAAGCACTACCAGGAGAAAGAAAATGCCGAAGAGAAAGACAGACAATCAGTAATGAATCGCAAGTAAGAGCGAACCTTACTACAGTCGGCTCGGATGCACCTTTCCGGAAAACTCAGCAAGAATTCCGCCATGGTTTCTTACCACAGATGATGCCTTCCACGTTTTCCACTCGAGAATCAACTTGGGACTTATTCGCAAGCAAAAAACATTGTTCCGTTGAGCCATTAAGTTCCGAAGAAGATTTGATGGCAGAGCACGGCTTTCGTAAAAAGGATGTTTCTTCTGTGACACGGCCTTTGTTTCTACCGAAAAGCAAGGGGAGATCCTTTGGAGCTCTTCTCAACTCCATATCATGTAAAATCCCTGAAAAAATTCTCGAGCTCCTCGTAAATTTGGTCAAAATCTTGTGCGATTGCCTAATTAGTAGTTTTTGCGACGACCTGACCTTTTAAAAAGTCAGACAGCATTTTCTATCATACTGTCCCCTTGAGAAGTAGGATGTTAGCACATTAAAAAAGTTTGGCGAAACGGAAGTGAAAAATAATAGAAAAACATGAGGTGGAGTTATAATTTTGGGACGTTGGCCAAGTGGCCTTTTGAACAAAAATTATTAGAAAAAATTCCTGGGATCTCAAGTTGGAAGATGATGCTTATAAGGGATTTCGTATTTGTATTTGACACACTGCCACATTAGAGACTTTTTCTAAAACATCTAAATTTGTGAGATTTTGGGAAATTCTTGGGTGGAGTTATAATTATGGGACGCAGTGTATGTCGCGATGGCGCAAAAGCGGGTTTTCGTTGGAGCTCTTTATTTGCTGTCAAGCGTATTAGCTGTAATTATATCCTTATAGGTGTAAATGAGATTTTTGTGACCTGTCTAAAGCAATCCCACTTACGAACATTAAGTGGTAATTCAAGGATAGCCTGCCCTACATTGAGTCAGGTTAAGGACAAGGATTATGTATTTGCCGTTGTTCAATCCCGTCTTGGGATGCGGCATGCATTCCACTTCCCATCTGTACAGTGGCGTTTGAATGCGATTTGGGGCCTATACAATGACTTTGCGGGGCCGGCCCATGTTCAAGTCAGTGTTTTTTGGTTGATTGTTGTATTAATACCCAGACATGTCTTGATACAATTAACCGACCCCGGAGAAATGGGAGTCTTGGTTGACCCGGACGAAGCAAGACCCAGGATTCGCCCCCCCCCCCCCGCATCTGATAAGCCTGCCACTTGCCACTACACCACTTCCGCCCTGTTGAGGCAGCTTACCTCCTGGAAAGAGAGCTACTATTTTTTTCGTTTGTATCTCATCCAATTCCTCTGTCAATCCCACAGGTCACGACGATTGCTTTAACTGCCAGCAATCGCGCATTACACCTTAGAAATAGGCCGTAGATCTCGGGCGGGGCAGTTATGTGCTTCTTGACTCCAGACTTTGGCTAGATGCGCTGTGCATTCGTCGCGCTGAAGTGTTGTAATGCTACCTAGCTATTTAGGAATGAATGAAAGAAGAGAGCCTCAGTGCATATACCTATCGAATTTCAGGGATGTTACGATCCGTTGCTCAGTGATTTGCAGTACTATTCCCTTGGTATCGTGCTGATCTCGTCCGTTATGGCTTTTCTATGTTTGATTAATGCTGGTTTATGTTTTCTCGTCCACGAATCATCACTCAGTCATCATTACCATGACGAGGCTCTTCTTCTGTGACTTGCTCCGTTGTGTCCTCTGAACTCTTACGGCCGTCTCTTATATTCGAGAAATCTCTTTTCTGCTGAATACTACAGCAATTGCTGATCTCAAACTGTATCCCATATCTTTACTGCTTAATAATTGTCGCGAATCTCGTCGAACGTTGGTCTGGTCACTGCTTCAACTCATAAGGGTACACTATTAAGAGCATAATTTATTCCGTTGCCTTATATAAATTAGTATTTTTATTTATTTATTTGCTGATCATTGTTGAATAAATCCTCCAGAGTAAAAGCATCAATTCTGCGGTCGAAAACAGGAGCGAAGTAAAACTGATCTGCACACAATATGTACCAAGTAAGCAAAGGACAACGGTCCAGAGGCTGTATTCCCCGAGCATAACAAAAAGAAGATGGTATAAATTTACACCAACACATGTTAGCAAAGCTGTGATGGTGTAAGCTTGCGCATTCTCTTGCGGTAGCCACGTTGTGAGCAGGGGCGTCAACACGCTATTGGGCGCTTGTGACAAAGCGTCCAACGCGATGGCTCTCTTTAGCGTGTGAGAATGCCAGAGAGTGAACGTACAGCTACTGAGACTACACGACAGTCTTCGGCGCAAGGCCGAGGAGCTAGAAATGATTCGCCCGCGCGGAGGGCCGCTGCAACGTCGGTCCACGTCGCGTCCCAATGTCGGTCCAAGGTATATCGCAGTTGACCGCTGGTTATGTGTGAGGTTTTATACAACTTAAATCCCCTTAATCAACAAGAGAAAGGAAGCACGAAAGGAAGAGAAAAGGCCGGGGACGGTGAGAAAACACTCAATCTGTCGCTGCGCGATTGTGGTGTAAGTGTATCACTCTTGCTAAATTGGAGCCACGTTGCTGGCTGTGGTATGAGTCTTTTCTGGTGTGGTCTGAAGGCAAGGCGCATGATCATGAACTCGTGTGTTATTGCGCTTAGAAGTGACAGTGGAGATGTGAAGTTACGCCAGTGATGAAAATGAAAGAAACCGTCGACAGATCATCGTCTGGATTTCTCCTTAAGCCGTGGATTAACCTGCAGTGCACGAAAGCGAAGTACTGCAACATCAAGGTATACTTCGCCGGGATTACGTGGTGTGAGCCAAGGGTGCATACCTTGGGCCTTAGCGGCGGCCCACTGTTAAACGACTTCCGCGATGGTACTCCGAAATTGGTGTGTACAATTTTGTTTAACACTTAGGCAGCAAAGTACGAGGAGGACTATGAGTTGCAACAGGGTTGCACTTTGTGAAGGTTTGCAAATGGTCAGCCGAGAGTAAAACATAGCGCTGCGGGAAGAGGCAGCAGAGAGGGGAGAGAGTCAGGAGGGCACATTGCATATGAGATGGAGCAAACACCAATGTGATGCCCGGTGGCGGGGGGGCGGGGGCTGGGAGGGGGGGGGGGGCGGGGGCAGGGGGGGGGGGGGGACAGCGATTGGCGACCTGACAGATTAAGACTCCATCGCCACGGCAAAAACGATAAGTCAGCGACGGAACGTCGGCTGCGCCGAGTTGAGTGGCGATGTAGGACGTACGGTACACTCTTTAAGTTGACGCGAAATCGCTACAGTACGCGCTGCAACTCGCCCTCTGACTCAACCCACTTGCCGCGCGACGGGCCTCCTGTCGGGTACCCGCCGCGATTGACCATACCACGTTGCCGCGCACTTTCGAATCGCCACTGTGGCGCGACTCCTGGGCTTGCCGACTCCGCTATCTCACTCTAGCAGGGACTTCTAAGCCCTAATCTGTACCCGTGGCTTGAATTGCAGTCAAGTGGGTACATAGTCTGCGCCTGCGACCATTACATATTTCTCGCGCAAGAGCTTCTTGCGTCCAGAATTTCCGGACTCTGCCGTTAATGGTGCGCGCCATTTCAACGGCTAACAAGCCTTTGATTTATTAAAGGCACTAAGTACGATGAAATGGTTCTGCGCAAGGACAAAGTGTAGGTTTTTGATGTTCAATTTTTGATGTTTTTTCAATCAATTTCATAACTGTTCCATTTTCCTTTTGGATGCACTTTCTATTACACATACACCACATTTTGTAATTTTGTCCTCTCTTATACATATTCTAAAATTACGCTCATACAAACGGTCTACATCTGAGCAGTGAACTTGTTTACAGCGAAGAGCTGAGTGAGGGTCACCGTAGAGGGTACCTCCCATCTCACCTGATTCAGACGATTTATTCAGGTTCATTCACCATCGCACCACGGCACCACTGCTTCTGTAGTTGGTAAGCGTCGAATTACCGTAATCTCTGCCTTTAACTGCTGTTTGGCAGCAGCTCGTCATGCAAAAATTATTACAAAAATGTCGAGCTAAGGTGAAATCACACTGTTCCAAAATCCTGAAACGGTGGCATGCACCGTAATCGCTAGCATCTCTCTCTCAAAAAGCGGCGAGTGATGCGGGTTTGGATCCCACTTCAGAAAAGAGTTTTGCAGCATATCGTCGTAATTTCAATAACCATTTCACATTTCGGAAGACCTCTATCATAAAAGTTTAAAATGAAAGAAAACGACACGTATTACAGCAAAATACAACAACACTTTCACCAAAGAATAAGAAACTACTCGAATACTTGTCAATTTTCTTTCTTGGTACGAAGACTCTGACTGCTCTTATCTACAGTAACAACAATGGACGGTATAGAAGATCGGCGGCAAATCAAGAAGAAACTCTGCAGTAGCAAATAACAAATAAGGTATGCCGCTACAAGAGTTAACAATAAGAAGTCTAGGTTAAGAGTAAGGAGAGGATTCACAAGCTGTACACCGTAAAAGCCTGAACCGCGGTGACGACCAACAAGTTCTATATAGTGTAGAGCTGTTTCGAAGGGGGTCGACGGACGAGCACGGAAGTCCTTAGACATTTCTTTTGCTACCTTTGTATACCTGAAAAGACTAAATTTCGAAAAAAATTTCATGTGGTATCAATAAACAAATAAATAAATAAAAAGTAACAAATGAATTCTCTAGCAATTCACTTTTCTTGTCGTGGAGGATGAAGAATAAAGACCTCGGATTCGTTCAGCCTCAGTTACGCCGTGCATTAGCTTTTCTTGGCAAGAAGTTCGACTCTTCCCGAGGTGCCCTTGGTATCCCATGCAATGGCCCTTACATGACCTTCCTGTTGTATTGAATCAGCGCTATTGCCCTATGTCAGGTCACTACAAAACGGGTTCGTGGGATTAAAGCCAGGTCCTTGTGAGTCCGACTTAACAAAAGGGGTGGTTTTCATGAAAGAAACCTCTACTTGCCAAACTTGATCTTCTAAATTTGAGATACCTAGACTGTTTTGCTTAGTTTTGTAGGTGAAGGAATCAAAAGTTTATTCCTATGAAACCTTCAGATCCAACCACTTCAGATTTTAGTTTGGTAGGCCTGTGCACACCTTTCCTCTCTCCCAACCTTCCCTTGGTTCATGTGATGAGCTTTTGAGATCGTCTTGGATTTGGTGGGTATTCCTAGTCTAACAACTAATAATTCCGCTCCTAAAGGAAATTCTCCGAATTTGTAAGGAATCAAAATCTCAAGCTTTGCCAAACCATATTTTCAAAATTCACTTACTTGCTACCTTGGAGCACCGATTTCATTGCGCTCAATAGTCTATCTTCTCGTAACTCCTTTTTGTTGACCATTAAACCAAGTCCCTGAAGAAAAACATTTCATAAATGCGATCTAAAAGAAGTGTAATTAGATGTGTGGGCGTTGGCCTTGTGCTGTGGCGGGCCGTTGCCCGCATATAAATGTTTTGCGCACTCGCAGGATATCGTATAATATGTTCATCAGCAACATTGATCCAAAGAGCATACACTAAGATAATGCCGCCCTTAAAATGTTGCCATTTGCCATTTGAGAACTCAGTGAGCTTGCAAATGGTAGGCTAATCAGGCAATGGAGGCAAATGGTCTATTCCATTTGATCTCATTCAGAAGCGTAGCGGTACTCGACTACGACTTTTCCTATACAACCACCGGCGTGGTCCATCCCATGTTAAGGCAGTGTACTTTTCTGTTAAGACGTCAGTAGGGCAATTACCCCCCGACCCGAATTATGGCAGCATTTTGTTGGCACGAGAGGCAGTCCATCAGAAATTCAACGGCGGGATTTGATCCTATGGTTGACTACGGATAGTGTGCGTGATTTTGAAGGTCTTGCGCTGATCCATCCTCACTCATTTTCCAGTAAATCCATTTCTTGAGTTGGAGCAAGTTCAAATTTCAAATTTATCTCATTTCGTGCGAAAACCCGCGCAAGGGGTAAAATTTCATAGTAAGGGTAAATTACCTCGACGATGAAGCATCTATGAGGATTGCGAACTATATTGACCTTCGCCGACCTTTTCACAATTTTCTCAATTTATGGCCTTTGCTGTCCTATACAGCGGAAATCCGTCACAATCGGTTACTCGTGAGCCATACCTCGCATGATGCTGACATTCCGCCATTTGTTACCAGAAGTTTGCAGGATTTGTGAGCTAAAATTTGCCATCACTTTCCAAAAAGCATCTTTAGAGTTGCTATATGGACGAAACGACTTGAACGGTGACCAACCAAGGAGGTCATTCTGTGGGATGAAGGCGGTGAGGTTGATATGACTTGGCACATTTTCCTCGCTCACATTCCTCAGTTGCACTTTGTGTCCGATTCGCCAGTAAATACGGTAGCTATTGAGCTTTGACAATCGCTCTAGATGATGATTTTACTCAAAATCATTCATTGTTTTACATTATCGATCCCAAAAAATCCACCGTGTTAACCATAAATGTTATAGCATTTTTTATCCGAATCAGTTTTTGTTATTGATGCGCCCCCTCTCATACTGGCGGTTGAAAACCGAAGCCTGAATTCGGATTCGTAACCAGCATTTGGCGACTACCGAGCATGGGTCGTGCAGTTCAGTAAATGATAGTGTAGTAGAGCTTTGTGACTACCTATTGAAAAACTGAAAATGAAAGCGCGTAAAGGTCGGGATCAATTTGATGTGGCAATCCCCATCGAATGCGGAAGAAGAGATGCAGAGTGGACACACAAGTGGTTAAAAAGAAAATATTCCTTCATAAATCGCGCCAGAGAGTTACGAACCACACGTTGCTCTTGCTAAAAAAATCAACAAAAAGCAAGATCTTACAAAAAGAAAGATGGATGAGTCGAAGAAGATCTTCGCGATTCGAGAGAGGGCAGCTGTGCAACTTGTGACAGAGAAGAGTGTCGCGGGGGGTGCGGTTAGGCGCCCACGCCTGAGTGAGGCGCATGAGGTGCATAGTTTGTCGTGCCTTAATAATGCGAAAGACCTCCACTCGCTGGGAGGGCTATCCAGGAGGCAAGAGCCGTCTTTTGTTATGTACTTGAGCCCGGAACGAAAAAGCAAACACTGCGGAGGCTGAGAGATCACAGAACTACGAGAGATCAGACGCTTCACCACGAAGGTGCACCATTCATTATATAATCTCTGACAAGGCAAGCACATGTAGCCAACGCTCTTGCAACCTTTCAGCCACGTAGTGAACGCAACCTTAACGACCGATCCACCTTACTTACGGAGCGGGCCCTTAAGCTTATGGTGCCTTGAATAGAGCATACTTACCGTGAAAGCAATCGAGGAACTGTTGATACATTTAAAACTATAAGCTTTTGGAGATCATCAGTTTCTGTGATCCGGGCATCACGCAATGTCAAGTGAGCCTCTTCGAAGGGGTAGGGAGTGAGGAGCAGAGCATTTCTGGGAATCTGTGGAAGTTACGGATACGAAGCAGAAGTGGAACTACACTAAGGAGCTACCGGCATTGAATGAAAAATCCTAGTGTCTTCGTCCACTGCAATATTGAACAAACATAATTTATACATTAATGTGGATGTTGACGCTTCGGCTTTCGTCATGTAGGCTGATTCGCGTTGAGTTCCGAGGCTGACCACGATCAGGCCATCTCTAGCAGACTCAATAGAGGTGTTCCATGGCTAAATTGAGTATTAAATGAATAAGTCATGATTGAACCCTCAAGTGGATAAATTTTTTCTAAAGTTAGCGCTATTTAAAGAGAAATCCTAAAATAGCCAGAGAGGAAGTGCATTAGAAGCTAATCGAACGTTTTCTTATAATCCGTGCGCTCGAGATGAACACTTCAGCTGGGCCAAATGGTAGGGAAATTGGAAAATAACTCCATACAAGCAGTCAACCTAGCCACAGCCGCCCATCCCGATAAAACGAGATTGGAGCTACTTGAGCTTGCTACCAAGAATTTAGGTCCAAACTGTAGATCACTTTCTCTAGTGCACTCATGTAGTGGAAAGGAGCAGGATGGGATCCCACTCGTCGCCACTACATGAGTTTAGAACAGCATCAAATACCCATTGGTCAAAGTTCAATAGTAGGAGGAAGTAGAGTAGGGTGACTATGATTTTTGGGAAAGTGTGTATTCTGGGCTGGTGGTGTTAAAGGTCGGTTCCGTTGAAGCAAATTGAATGGGGTCGTGGATGCGGAAACATCCCTCTTTTATGGGGATTTTTTTATTTGGAGATAGCTTTTAGACTCCAGGAACTAAGGTAAACTAAGCGATTATAACGTACCATAGAGACACTCAAATCTCTGCAAGGTTTTTGACAATTCTGCCGGTTGTTTGACAAATTTACCTCAGACCCCAGCCCTCCGCTCCCTCCCCCGCCTCACGCTCGATTGCCATTTTGGAGGGAAAAGTGCGGAGTTGGTGGAGTGTCGACTGAACTCGGAATCAAACTCTATTGAAGCGACCATGGTGGTGAGGGTTGTAGTCGGACGTGAGTGGAGGTGGAAAGTGGTATCGACTGACCACCCAAAGCTGATAGTGGTGGTGGGGGGGTCGTATCAGAATCCTCCAAAAAGGGGGATCTAAATTGTTCAAGTCATAATCTTTTTTCATAATTCCAAAAAAGGATCAACACTAGGGTCGACCCTGGCACAAAGGTGTGAAGCCATGCACTTCAGGCTGTTTGATCAGTTATGCACTGGATTGCACATCAGCTCATAACTTGCAAATCATTGTAGAAGCTAGTCTCCCACTCTTCTACGAAATCAACTGGAACTTAAATGCATGGCTCTATCCCAATACTCTAGGTGGTTTTTATGGAGTGTGCAAAACACGGAAATATTACATTAATTAAATATTTACATCAATACAATATCACACAAATTAGATGTACTAATCATAAGAAAACTCACCGCAAATAAAGGCTTGGGCTGATCTACATGTAGCCCACCAACGGGAATTACAACTGGAGATAAGGCTCGTGGGAATTCCAGCAAGGGATCCGTATTCACGAAGAAGAGCGAGCTGGATCGTAAAAGCTCGCTACTGCTGGGAAACGTTGGAAACCTGAAATTGGCCATCGAAAGTGGTAGGTTTCGTAAAATTACGGTGCGAACGAACTTCTTTTTCAAGTAGTAGTCCTCGGCAAACATCGAGATGATGGGATCATCCAGTTGGCGGAATTTTTTCGAAATCAGCTTCGGCAAATGAGGAATGCCACTTTGCAGCAAATATTCTCTCATGTAGCAGAGCCCATTTCGTAGTCGCATAAGAGCATGATGAGGTAGCTGAAACGAAAGTGAATTGGAAGAGGTCACATATGAGAATTCCTTTTCTCCGGCTCTCTTTCGATGATTCCAGAAAATCGACCCACTTCGATTTTCTTGCCTTCGTTTATACCCATCTCCCTCTCCC